GTAGTACGGCTGCTCGACCACCGCACCTACCTCCCCAGGCGGTACAACCCCAACAACAGGCTGCACACCAGGCCCAAGAGGAGCCTGCACACCAGGCCCAAGATGAGCCTGCACACCAGGTCCAAGAGGAGCCTGCACACCAGGTACAAGAGGAGCCTGCACACCAGGCCCAAGAGGAGCCTGCACCGGCGGTACCGCACCCGGTAACCGCTCCAAGAGATGCGTCAGTAAATCCGCAAGCCGATCATTCTGACCCTGGGCTTCACCTGTTGGAACACCCCCGACCGGGTTCCCAACAACACTAGTACCGTTCAGGGACGAACCGGCTCTCACGGCACTCACACTCTCACCACCCACGTGCCCGTCCTGATGCGTCTGGTACTCACTAACAACATCGGCCGTAGCACTTCGGCCCACACTCGTGTCGCTATCCGAGGCAACACCACGCCCCCCACCGCGACCACGCCCACGACCACGACCACGACCACGACCGACAGCTCCACCTCTAACCATCTGCAACACAACAGAAGGCTAAGAACACCAAACAAATCACCAAACAACACACTTACCGTGGAATCTCATTGAATGCTCGAGAGGATGATCTAGGTCTCAATGCTCACACAATTGATTACACACACAATCATTAAGCATGCAATCCACATCATCATTCCTCATCAATGAAATTCACACATCACATCACAATTTTTACCAATTAAATCTCGTACTAGAACCGTAAATGCTCTGATACCAAATTGAAAGAACCCATCCCGTTTTTTTTTTCTTTTAAACATGCAAACAATCCGGATTAACCCCTTTAAAGCAACCCAGACAATTTTACTAACACAACCAACTCAACGTAACCAGCGGAAGACTTAAACAAAAATCCAATCAAACCATTTCATTAATCCAACAAGTTCAACTATCAATATTCCAGAAACGAATTCATCCTAACATGCTTCTAAATTCCATTCTAGCATCCTAACAAATCATACAATCATCTAAACACCAATGAGCGCCTATATCATCCTCCTCTTCTCGCCATGATTACACGGATCACACTTTGCTTTTACCTGCATCAAAGAAAGAGATGCATAAGTATTTCATAAATACTTAGTGAGGCAATCATACCACCACTGGCTATACACACAAGCACATTCAACCAAAATCCAAGGAAAAGAACCAAACAACCAATAAAAGATAGACCAGAATCGCTTCTGACTATCAGTGTCGATCGACACCCTCCACTGGTGTCGATCGACACTCGCTATCGACCCTCGCGGACGACACCGGTCTCGACACTCCAATCGTAAGACGCAGTTATCCTCACGCGATGAAACGTTGGTGTCGATCGACACCGACTCTCAGCAGACGCTCCAACTGCTTTTCTCACTGGATCTCTTCTCCAAAAGACCACCACGATAAGAACGAGTCTCCAAAGGATTCCACATGCATCAATCATCAAATAAACAGCTAAACAAGCAAAGGAAATCAATCAATCAATCATCAAAACCCTGAAACAATGATCAAACATGCTTAGATAAGCCTGGTCATGCACTCACCTCTTTAACAAGAAGAACAGCAACGAAAACAAGGAAGAACAAGGAAGGATCTGTCTCCTCTAACACCACACAACACTGATCTAGCCTCTACTAGCCTTAAACCACCAGGAACACCACCAAACACCACCAAAGACTCACAAAAACCCTCAAAAGCTCTAGAACCTTTTTCTCTCTCTGGAAGTGTTAAAAAGCGGCTGGGAAGAGACAACACACGACCTTCCCTCTTTTAAACACGACCTAGGGTTAACCAACCCAAACCAAGCCTCAATTGAACCGACGATTTAAAACTTAAACCGTCAAACCAGAAATACTAGTGTCGATCGACACCCAACCACAGTGTCGATTGACACCACCCGGATTTCCAGACACGGGCGTTACAAATAGACACATTCGGTTTAGTTGATTATGATGGTGATTACAGAACAAGTTCATTAGGTTTTAAGATGTTGTTCTATAGAACTACTACGGTCAAACCGTTTGATGATTTTCCAACTAAAATTCCTGAAAAATATTTCCGAGAGTTTTCTGATATTTTGGCCGGAAAAGCAGAAAGACATTTGTTGATCGGTGAGTTGTCAAATTCGTAATATATACTCTTTTAAGTAAATAAATAGGTACAAATTTTCTAATCGTAATAATTTTTTATTGTTTATGTAGATGTAATTGGCCAGATTGTTAACGTCGACTGTCTTGAGAGTATCAAAACTAAAGGGAAGGATAATGTGAAACTAGCTTTCGAATTGCAAGATCTGAAGTATGGTTTTATTTTATTTTAAAGTATAAAGTATATAATTAATATATTTTAAAATTTAGAAATTTATAGAGTAAATTATTAGTATATTTATTATTACAAAAAAGGAGCTCACTATTTTTTTATTATATAGGGGTACAAAGTTAAATTGCACGCTGTGGGGTGATGTTGCTAGAAATTTTGAAGGTTCGATAAAAGAACATGATGAATCTGTCGTCGTATGCGTTATTCGATTTGCATGCATTAAGGAGTGGAGAGGTAATTTTGATTGTACATGAGAAATTGCTTTCAATATTTATCACGATTACGTATTAAAACGATTTTCAAATTTCAGGAGTTTTTAGCATATCCAACTCTTTCGGTTCAACAGATGTTTTGTTCAACCCAAATATCACAGAAGTGGAGAAGTTTACTAAAATGTCAAAACTTTCAGATAATTTAAATTTGCATGATTATCAGAGGTGTTATTAGTATACATAAATTTACTTATTAGAATATTTATTTTTGACAGGTTGCCATCCGAGGTCGTCGATTTAGTTCAGATTAATAATGAGCCTAAAAATGAACTTCCAAAGGTCACGCTATATGAAGAGTTCTTCGTATTCAATGAAAAGATGACAATAGACGACATACTTTATGCACTAGAGGTATTTTTTAATTACATGCGTCAATAAAAAGATATATTTAATGATTAAACGTGTGTTTATATTCAGGTGCGTACATGTGTTACAATTGCAAAAATTATTTCCGTAGAGGCACTGCCTAAATGGTATTACATTGCTTGCAAAGCCTGTAATAAAAAAGTTCAGCCATACCCGTTAGATTCTCAAGTCGGAAAAGAACGATTATACAGCTGTGGTGTTTGCGATAAAGATGTTACAGAAGTTGATTGCAAGTAAGAAACACTCATTTAGATTGTGCTTTATAATCTTATGACGTATGAAAACGCTGCGAAGTAAGATCATTGAGTTATGTTTTTTGTTTTCAAAAATTAGGTTTAAATTGATATTACATGTCTCATATGGAAGTTCTCCAAGTATTAGACTGCTTTTCTTTGATGGTCTGTCTCAACTACTAATTGGAAAAAAGGCTGATGAATTGGTTGCACAGTTAGCTGAGGTAAAATTCTAAACATTCATGTTCATATTGAATGTCATAAACGGTGTTTAACCAATTGATTCATATATTTCAGGATGATCCTTCGAGCATTCCCATTGCTATTTCTTCTTTTATTGGAAAAACTATGTTGTTCAAGGTTTCAATCACAAATGACAATTTGAAGAGTTCCAAATCTGCTTATGTTGTTGAAAAATTTTGGGGAAAAGAAGATATGATAGTACAATTTGTAAAGGTATAATGTTACGAATATTAATATTAGCTATTTTGTGTTAACGAGAGTCTTTTTATGTAATATATTCATGGTGATTGTTGTGACTTATAGGAGAGCTATGGAAATGTCGATGTCAATCCTCGGATTCTGGAAATTACCGATGGAATAGACGAAAGTTCTTCGGCTGATTCGGTTACATCTTCGTCGAAGAAGAGAACTTCTCGAAAGAGTGGCGACTCCGCGAATAGTCATTATATGATTACAAGGAAGAAGATCAAAACCGAAAAACCAACATAGTATTGTTTTATTATTTACTGTGGTATTCAAACATTCGATGTTTCCGGTCATTATGCTTTATTATCTTGGATTTTACAAACTTTCTAAGCTTTAAATATTGATTGAATTATATGGTTTTACGCAAACTATATTATTATATATAATAATGATTAGTATTAGGTTTATATTATTAGAAGATATATTGAAATATCATAATATTATTATAAACTAATGGTGCAAAAATGAAAATGTTAAACAAAGTATTATGAATATTTTAATGTTTAATAAGACGATACAAGTAAGAATATATACACTTTAGAAGTTACTAATTTACCCTTAATATAGAAAAATGTTTGGTGTGACAATACAAGTAAGATATTAGAAATATTCCATAAATGCTTAATATCTCTTAAATTTTTATAGTTATAGGAAACTGTTTGGTGTGACAATAAAAGTAATATATATTACTAATACTCAATTGTGTTTATCACAATAGGCAAAATTTCTAATTTAAAGGATCATTAAAATGTAAATAATAATAATAATAATAACTAAATGGAAATATACAAATTTTGTTAATTAATAATTTAAATAAATTATAAGATCAATACAAACGATAATATGATAAGCATGAAATCGCTAATTTTCACATAATAGATTCTCCTCATCCTGAGGTTATATATTAGATACACAATTTATTAAAACCTATCGTCCAGTTTTAAACCTAAACATAATTATTGTAGCATAATTATTTACGGTGTTTTTAAAATTTGTTTGCAGGTCGTTACACGTAGACAAATACGATGAGACCTGAAAAGCTTCCGTATCGGAGGAAGAAAGATGCACCTCATGGTATGCCTAAAAAGAATAACTCTATCTTTGAAACTGTTATAAAAAATTCATAATTATAGAACTATGATATTTAAATTTCTAATTTTTATAATTCAGGTCTTAACACTCGACATAGTTACCCAGTTTTTAAACCTATTGAAGATGTCTCCATAACGAGACCTACAAAGCTTCCATTCCGTAGAAAGAAAGATGTATCTCATGGTTCGACAATAAAGAGTAACTACATCTTTGAAATCTATAAACAAAATAAGAATTATACAACGATGATATTTGCAAATTTCTAATCTTTATGATTCATGTGTTAATTCGAAACATAGTTACCAGTTTTTAAATTTAAAACTATAACAGATGTCTCTATAGCTAGATCTATACATCACCAGTTCGGAGACATCACACACAATAACGTAGGTCAAATCGAAAGGATGAATAGAATGCGTGTTTTGAGATCCCGGAAAACGGAGAAGGATAACCAAGGTAACATTATCTTTAATTAAATAAAGTTCAAGTGAGTAGAATACCTACTCATTAAATTATAATATGCATCAATATGCTAACCAATTATTGGTCATTCTATAGAAACTTTGCTACTACCTGGATTACAAGAAGATTTTGTATGTTATATTGCTACTGATTCGGAGTCAAATAGAGGAAGCGAGAATGATATGTCTACCGACGAGTCTGAGACCGAATATGGTGATGATAATACAATGTCTAATAATGTAATCGGCGGATTTACGGCTGTAAGAGCTGGATTACAAGAGAACGGTTCGTTTAGTTTCCACTTTTAGTATTCTTATTGAATTACTATCACTAATAATAATAATAACAATAATCTGTAAATCACTAACAATATCAACAATGCTTATGTATTAAAACTTTGCGCAGGGTATTACGATGATGGAGATCCGTTTTATATCTGTGAGAATTGTGGAGCCTATATGTGGTTTGGAGAGCGTGTGAATAAAAAATCCAAAAAAGGAAAGCCAATTTTTTCAATGTGTTGTCGTCACGGAAAAATTAAGCTCCCTTTACTTAAACCTCCACCGAAAACGTTGTCATCGTTGTTCTATAATCACGATGATAGGAGTATCAACTTTCGTGATAATATAAGAGCATACAATATGATTTTTTCGTTCACATCTTTAGGGGGCAAGGTTAACCATTCTATTAATGATGGTGCTGGACCATATCTGTTTCAAATGTGTGGAGAAAACTATCATCGTATTGGTGATATTTTGCCAGAACCGGGGAAAACACCTATGTTCTTACAACTATATATTCATGATATACAGAATGAGGTTTCTAATAGAATAAGTGCATACGGGTAATAATAACATCTTTGTGTTATTTTGTATAATGTTTCGATTTAATTTTCTAATAAAAATAAAAAATAATTCATATTTTTTGTGTTTTTATAGAAGATCTGGATCGACTGAAAATTTGAGGCCTGACACTGTAGAGCTAATCAAGAAGATGCTTGATAATCATAATCCACACGTCCGGGCTTTTAGGTCAGCAAGAGAGAGATTCGATATGGATTGCGGTGTTGAAGATTTAAAATTACGTTTGCCTTCGGATAGAGCTTCTGATGCGAGAACTCATAATTTACCTACCTGCAATGAGGTGGCTGCTTTAATTCCAGGTGATTTTAATTGCGGTGAGAATAAGCGTGATATTGTTATAGAAGGTCGTTCAGGCAATTTACAAAGAATAAGCGAGCTTCATCCGGCATATTTACCTTTACAATATCCTTTGTTGTTTCCATATGGAGAGGACGGTTACCGGTTAGGGATTGACATAGGTTTTATAGATACTGCTGGACGGAAAAGGAAAACCGTGAGCATGAGAGAGTTTTATGCTTATCGAATTTTAGAGAGATATGGAGAAGCTTCTACGATTGTCATGTCCGGAAAATTATTCCAGCAGTTCTTAGTGGATGCCTTCACGACTATAGAATCAAACAGATTAAATTATATTTGGATGAACCAAAAAAAACTTCGGACAGAAAGAATAGATAAGATACTCGAAGCTGCTGATAAAGGACGTACTGATCTTTCAGAGCATGGGAAAAGGATTTACATACCTTCGTCGTTTACTGGAGGAAAACGGTATATGATGCAGCATTATTTAGATGCAATGGCCACTTGCAAATTCTTTGGTTTTCCCGACCTTTTTATAACGATAACTTGCAATCCTAAGTGGCCTGAAGTTGTGCGTTATATTACTAGACATCGTCTTAAACAAGAGGATAGACCAGATATTTGTTGCCGGGTTTTTAAGATGAAATTAGATAAGCTCATGCATCAAGTCACCAAAGAGAAAACTTTCGGTACGATGAATTCTGGTACGTATCTTATTTTCATATACATTTTTTAATAATATTATACAAATATAAATATAGTTACGTTGCCGTTTTGATTTTTACGCAGCTATGTATACAATAGAATTCCAAAAAAGGGGACTACCACATGCGCACATGGTTTTATTTTTGCATCCGGATTTTAAAATGCGCACAACGGACGACATAGATAAATTCATAAGTGCCGAAATACCGGACAAAGAAGTGGACAAGTATTTATATGAAGTTGTTTCTGATGTTATGATTCATGTACCTTGTGGACGTCAACACAACGATAGTCCTTGCATGAAGGATGGTAAGTGCACAAAGTTCTTTCCAAAACCATACGTAGAAAATACTGTGATAGATGATGCTGGTTATCCAGTATACAGGCGGAGAGATGATGGAAGAATTGTGCATAAGAAAGGTTTCGACTGTGACAACAGATACGTTATTCCGTATAATCGTGAATTGTCGATTCGTTATCGTGCTCACATAAATGTAGAGTGGTGTAACCAGTCACGGTCAATAAAATATCTGTTCAAATATATCAGCAAAGGTCCAGATTATATTAGAGCATCAGTAGGAGAAGAGGATGAAGAAAATGAAATCAAACAATATTTTAACTGCAGGTATTTATAGTAAAATTATAACTGTGATACATGTTGTTCAAAGTAACATTAACATACTTTAATCATTCGTTTCTGTAGATATGTATCAGCATGCGAAGCTACGTGGAGAATATTAGCGTCCCCGATATGTTATCGTACAACACCTGTTGAAAAATTGCCCTTCCATCTTCCTGGCCAGCAATTGGTTATTTATAACAAGGATGATCCTATAGAAAATGTTATGTCACGTTCAACAAATGGAGGAAGCAAATTCTTAGCATGGATGGAATGCAATAGAATTGACCCTGAAGCTAGAAAGTTAACGTATGCTGAATTTCCGACCGCTTATGCATGGTATAAAAAAGAAAAAATTTGGAAGCGGAGATCAAGGAAAAGAAAAAGTTTTTCAATAGGAAGGATTACGTACGTACCACCTTCTACAGGGGATGCTTACTACTTAAGAGATTTGCTTAATAAAATACCAGGTGCAACCAGTTTCGAATTCTTGAAAACGGTTAACGGAGTTCTTTACGGAGAATTTAAAGATGCTTGCTATGCATTAGGATTATTGGATGATGACAAAGAATATATTTCAGCTATAAAGGAAGCAAGTTTCTGGTGTCTTGGCAAGTACTTAAGGAAGCTATTTGTGATACTATTGATTTCGAAGAGTGTATCTGTTCCGTTAAATCTTTGGCTCGCGACAAGAGATATACTATGCGAAGATATTTTATTTCTCCATAGGAATCGCATGAATGATCAAGGTACATCGGAATCTTTATTATTATTAGTATTATGCAAAATTATCAAATTAATTAAAAATGTTTGTTCTATTTTTTCATGTATGAATTTTTACGAGTTTTTTGTCATATTTGGTAAAAATATTCTTAATTCTATTATACAAATTGATATGCAGGTCTTATGTTAACACAAGATCAAATACGGAACATATGTTTGTCGGAAATCGAATTGCTTATGCGTTCGAATGGCACTTCTCTTTCCGTTTTTACTAATATGCCAAGACCAGACGATAGTGTGATAAATTCAAATGAAAATCGGCTTATTATGGATGAGAAAAATTATAAGCGTCATGAACAAAAGAAAGATTACAACAGACTGTTTGGTATGTTAACTGAAGAGCAAAGACGTGTTTACCAAGAAATAATCGACTCGGTAAATAAAAACAAGGGTGGAATGTTTTTTGTGCATGGATTCGGTGGTACTGGAAAAACTTTCTTGTGGAGTATCCTTGGAGCTGACATTCGATCTAAAGGTAATATCGTTCTAAATGTTGCATCAAGTGGAATCGCTGCTTTGCTATTGGAAGGTGGTAGGACAGCTCATTCTAGGTTTGGTATACCTATCAATATAAACGAATATTCAATGTGCTCGATAGATGCAGAGTCCGATCTTGCAGAATTGATAAGAGAAGCGAAACTCATTATATGGGACGAGGCACCGATGATGAACAGACTTTGTTTTGAAACTTTGGATAGGACTTTGCAAGATATTATGAAGTGCAATAGGATTTTTGGAGGTAAGGTCGTAGTTTTGGGAGGTGATTTTAGACAGATTCTCCCAGTAATTCCTGAGGGTGGAAGGGTCGCAACTGTGTTGGCGTCTATAAACTCATCATTGCTTTGGCAAAGCTGTAAAGTTTTAAAGCTTACACAAAATATGCGCTTACGAGAAGGCGTTAATAACGAGCAATCTGTTGCTCTCGCCGAGTTCTCAAGGTGGTTGCTCGATATTGGTGATGGTAAAATCAATGAGCCAAACGATGGTGAGGTCGAAATAGAAATACCTGAAGATTTATTGATAACAGCAGCTGAGGAACCTATTCAAGCAATTGTTAAGGAAATCTATGGTAATTCTTTTGCTAAAGAGAAGGATCCAAAATTCTTTAGGCGAAGAGCAATTCTTAGTCCAAGGAACGAAGATGTTGATAAAATCAATCAATATATGCTTTCTCAACTACCAGGTATGCATTATAATTGTTTACGTGTATCTAATATTATGCTTTTTGGTAATAAAATAAGTTTACTAAATTGCATGTCTCTTTTACATATTTAACTATATCATAGGTGAAGAAAGACGTTATTTTAGTTCAGATTCCATTGAAACGTCGGATACAAGTGTTTTCGACGATATGGTCTACTCGCAGGAATTTTTAAATAGTATCAACGTCTCAGGATTGCCTAAGCATGAATTAACATTGAAGAAAGAAGCCCATATCATGTTGCTAAGGAATATAGATCCTAAAGGTGGTTTGTGCAATGGTATAAGGTTGATTGTTACTCAAATGGCTGATCATGTTATAGAGGCAAGGATAGTAACAGGTAACAGTGTAAACGAAAAAGTACTTATCCCTAGAATGTTTGTGTCTCCGCCAGATGCAAAGTTTCCTTTCCGTATGAGGCGTCGTCAGTTTCCTGTGACTCTTGCGTATGCGATTACTATTAACAAAAGCCAAGGTCAGACGCTGGAATACGTTGGATTGTTTTTACCAAAACCAGTCTTTACACATGGACAGCTATATGTTGCATTATCTAGAGTGACGACGAGAAATGGATTGAAGATTTTGATAACTAATGAAGACGGTGAATGTCAGAACAAGACCCTTAACGTAGTCTTTAAAGAAATCTTTGATAACATTTAATTACATACCAATTTGTTGCATCATCAGATTTACGTGTTTATTTTTCATGAAAAATAAGTATTATCATGCAACCGTTTTTTGGTTACACTCTTCAATAATTTTCCTTATATAGTTAATATGGTAAACTTTAAAACGATTAAACTTAGTGAATTTACTGATCAAAATCATAATATAGTATACATGTTATATTGAAACTCATAATACAGTTGGTTCATGTATGCATATTGTAAATTTCAGAATAAGACGTAACTAAATCATATCCATAAACAAAAATAGATTCGCAACTTTATTGCAGTTTAAATTACAAAAAGTAAATGAAACATCTAGAAATTACTAATTATAAACAAGATTACTAATTAAAAGCAGATGAAATATCTAGAAATTACTAATTAAAAACAAAATTACTAATTAAAAATTATACAATGTTGTTAATATTAATTCGTCTCGAAAGTTATATGGATGCACTTTTTTGGTTGCAGATCTGAATAAGTACGCTTTATATAGTCAATTTTTTCAATTTACAAACGAATCAAGTTAATGATATTCTAAATAGCTTCTCTAATAGTTATAGTCGCGGAGCCGTGTTCCTAATGATTAGTCGATTCAGCTATTTTTCATTATAGATAAACAAATCCAAGACATACCAGACCCAATAGATGTCTTGGTTGGCAAGACACACCAAATCCTCTTATGTATACTCTTTACATATTACTTTTGTTTTGAATCTCCAATAAGAATGCTATTGCATTTACTTTGTTGTTGTTTAAAATTTTAAATCTAATAAACTATTGGTTTTTGCTTTTAAAAATTGATACTTAGTCCTAGATCTTATCTATTAGCTAAATTAAAATTTGTTTTCAATTAACAGATGGTTTAAATGTAGGGTATACATATGTAAATTTTGGTTAGTGTTAAAAATTCTTTAATGTCCAAATGTTTTATCAAAAATAATAAAATTAATTAAATCTAATTTATTA